GAAATTTAAGGGCACATCAAATGTGAAATCGGCGTTCTTTGAACCGGCAACTGAACAAAAAGTACACTCCACTTGTATGGGTCGCAAGAATAGCAGAGCACGCAATATCGATGACATTCAAATCGGGCCAGTTAAACGCGTACTCGACTCTCTAGTGCGTCCACTTACCTTCCTGATCAACTTGTGTCTAGTCACAGGAGATTCTCACGAGAAAATGGAGCACGTTAACGTTAGCGCGTTGCATATATCGGGGAATGAGAATGATTTTTCCCTATTACCGTCCGATCGCAATATTGCCCTTTCCTTCTAAATGGCTTGAAAAGGTTATCTGTAAGCGAATGGTATCTTTCTGTGATAAACACTCTCTACTTGCGCCAGAACAATGTGGTTTTCGATAGGGATTTATCAAGTGAACACCCTTTACTAGCACAAAAATAAATCATCTTAAAGAGATTTGAGCAAAGAAAACTAACACTTGGTATATATATTGATTTTTCTAAGGCGTTTGACAGAATACACCACGAAATACTCCCGCAGGTCGCGGATTCAAATCCCAGCTGCGGCGGCTGCATTTCCGATGGAGGCGGAAATGTTGTAGGCCCGTATGCTCAGATTTGGGTGCACGTTAAAGAACCCCAGGTGGTCCAAATTTCCGGAGCCCTCCACTACGGCGTCTCTCATAATCATATGGTGGTTTTGGGACGTTAAACCCCACAAATCAATCAATAAATCAACCACGAAATACTGTTTACAAAATTAAAACATCATGGTTTCCGAGGTGTAGCTGTAAATCTTGTCGAATCTTACCTGGGGCGCAGAAGGCAATGTGTAAGCGTTAAAAATAAAACTTCTTCGCTATTAGAAATAAACACCGGCGTTCCGCAAGGGAGCGTGTTAGGCCCTGTGTTATTCAACATCTACGTAAATGACATATAGTAAGAGTTAGCGAGAACGCCGAATTTTCAGTTTACGCTGACGACACGAGCTTCTTCATTCAATCCGATGACGTGTCTTATCTAAGTATGCTAGCTCAGTACACGCTAGAAAAGCTAAAAAAACTGGAGTGAAGTGAATCACCTGGTTATTAATGCTGCTCAAAGACTGTCCTATATAAAAACCAACAAATAAAACTATAATACTAGCATAGACTTACACCTCGGCGACAAAAAGATTGAGATTGTTCAAGCGCCCCGCCGCGGTGGTCTAGTGGCTAAGGTACTCGGCTGCTGACCCGCATGTCGCGGGATCGAATCCCGGCTGCAACGGCTGCATTCCGATGGGAGCGAAAATGTTGTAGGCCCGTGTGCTCAGATTTGGGTGCACGCTAAAGAACCCCAGGTGGTCGAAATTTCCGGAGCCCTCCACTACGGCGTCTCTCATAACAATATGGTGGTTTTGGGACGTTAAACCCCAAATATCAACCACATATCGAGACAGGTCAAGAAGTCAAGATATTAGGCGTCATTTTTTGTGAAGACTTAAACAGGGATTCTCATGTCGATAATGTTGCCAAAAAGCTTGCCAAGGCATGGGGAGTGCTTTCTAAATTTCGAAATATGGTCTCTCCAAAACTTATACTCCTAATTTATAATGCCCTATTTCAATCGCACATCAATTACTGTACCTTCGTCTAGGGGAACACTACGCAAAAAAAAAACTAAATTGATCAGGCTCCACAAGAAGGCAATACGACATATCGCAGGTGTTCCATACGACGCCTATACATCAACCTTATTCACAATATTTATCGTGCTTCAACTTGAACAGCGGTATGAGTTCAATCTGTTTGCTAAATACAAGCATGGTTTGAAGGGTAAAAACAATTTCTCACACTGTGTCAACTATAAGAGTAATCGGCAATACCTTACCACATAAGGAAAAAGAAACATGGCATATCACGTTTTCGCGAACGAATTATAGTCTCAAAAGTCTGAGGCATATGATGCCTTACTTTTGAATTACCTAAACAACGAAGATATTCCGGTTTATACGTTCACAAACAAGTTGTGGAACGAACATTTGATTAGCAATCTCAGACAGAGTCAATGAACGTGAGTTTATTGCCGAGTTGGCTTTTATGAGTTTTGTGAAGTACAGGTTTCAATTTTGTATTTCATGTTCGGTTCGATTAAAAAAGTGCATTTTCGCATTTTTATATGTATATGCAAGAACACGAGACGTGTTATGTACCTATCTTTTTGTATATGCAAAATATTGCTATACAGAAGTGTTTTTCTTCTTGTTACATACATTTGGGCTCATTTCTATTCTTTTTTCTTCCATATGTATACCTTATTTTTTCAATGTTTGATGATTTTTACATTGTATACCTGCCGTTACAATTAGCTGCCAAACTAGCTCATGTCTTGCTTTCATGTTGCTTACTTGTACTTTGTATGTTTATTAGCTTGCATTTGTTTTCTTCTACATGACCACGTGTCTGCTGCCGAACTGTTTTCAGGGTCGTGAATTTCGTCAAGCTGCTTTTCAGCAGCTTTGAATTCTTGTCCTTGCATCTTTTTCACTTTTTAATCTCATTTGGATAGTGTTGTGTTGACCATTGCCATTGTATAAAAAAACATCAAATAGCTGTAACTGTAATGTTATCCTTTAACACGGTTGCCCCGCCGCGGTGGTCTAGTGGCTAAGGTACTCGGCTGCTAACCCGCAGGGCGCGGGTTCGAATCCCGGCTGCGGCGGCTGCATTTCCGATGGAGGCGGAAATGTTGTAGGCCCGTGTGCTCAGATTTGGGTGCACGTTAAAGAACCCCAGGTGGTCTAAATTTCCGGAGCCCTCCACTACGGCGTCTCTCATAATCATATAGTGGTTTTGGGACGTTAAACCCCACATATCAATCAATCCTTTAACACGGTTGTTGAAAAAGATTGCTAAGCAAACTGAAACCGATTTCGTTTTCATTGTAGGGTATTAAGGAATATATGAGGTACGCCGCAGTGGAGGGCTCCGAAAATTTCGACCAGGCACTTCGTGCTCTCTAAGGTTCTCCGACACCGTGCAGTAATACGCGGGCCTCCGGCATTTCATTTCCAACGAAGTGCGACCACCGGTGTCGAACCCACGACCTTCAGGTCAGCCGCCGATCACTCGCAAGAATGTAGCGCTGAATTCATGCTTATCGTTCATAGAATAAACAGAGACGTTACCGAAGCTGCGTACAGACGCGCTCACTATTAAATGGAACACCTGCACGCACAGCATGTTCAGACTTCTCCATCTTACAAAGGCAGAGTGCGGCTTCGATATGCATAAGACGACTGGTTGTTGACGGGTGCTGACTCCTCTTGACAGACTAGTGAGGTGCATGAAGATTTTGTTTCCTTGTCCACTAGCTGTTCGAGGAGCAGAATAATAATGGTGTTTATTCGAGTGTTCCTTTTAACAGTTGACCGTACTGCACATATAACCTGTATTTTTTTTTTCAGGACAACCCTTTTTAAACTAAATAACTTTAATTGGCCATTTTTTTATTCCTGCTCGAATCAGTGCAATATTGGCTTCATTCTTTGGGTATAACCCCAAAACAAAGCAGTTATTTTGGGCAGAATTATGCCTGTTTGTTAACACGCGTTATATGAAATAGAGCAGCGCCAGCGCGCCGCTGCTGCGAGTGCTTCCAAGCGTTTGTTTATTTTATGTACGCAGATGCCTTGTTACATGGCCATGTTACATGGCCATGTAGCATATTATCGGCTATCGCGGCCGATGATATGCGCGTCGGTGGCGTGTTTTAATGGGCGTCCACCAAATAGCGTGAAGCCCTGTATACAATGAACAAACACATGCCACCCTACTGAAACGATCCGTATGCGATGTCCAATAATTCCGTATGTTTCCGTAATAATCTTACGGAAGTATATGGAAACATACGGAATTATTGGACATCGCATGCGAAACGTTTCAGTAGGGCAGCGCGTGTCTGCTTCATAATTGGCGTGTTTAGGGCGCTTTTGCTCTGAAAAAAAAAAAAATCGGGCCGACTTCAGCTAAAACAAATGCTTCATTGCGTGATAATTTGAGGCGACCGACTACACGAAGTGAATATTTTACCGATTTGAGGAAGAATGAAAAAAAAAGCTTGCTAATTAAAGGTGAATTTACAGTAAGTGCTTATTTATTAAATGTACTATCTGCGTCAAATGAAACCCGAAACAGCGGCAAGCCGTCGCGATGGTATAGTGCGCGCCGTCCAGTTGTCACCTTTGACAGGCCCGTGTATAGATAGGGTGTCCCACATAAATTGAGCCAAGAATTTGAAAGTGACAGGCACTTAGTAGGCGAATTGAACCAAGCGCATACTACTCGCACTAGCCTGTAGGTTCTCAGCCTATCTTTTATTTCTCCCCATACTAATTATTAATCATTCTTAATTACCTATTTTTTTATATAATGGCCTGGAAACACCAAAATATGAACTCCGAGATGTAGAGCACTTTCGGAAACCACCGACTGAATTGTTTCCTGTACAATACGTCTAGCGCTGTCATTTTTTTTCGCGTTGTAAACAAAGCCTATAGCAGCACTATAGCAGTGCGCTCGCGGTCCGTCACACAGCTTTTTTTTTTTTCGATTTCGCGGACTTTTTTACACCGCGGACAAAAAATAACAGCGCTGGACGTGTCGTACAGGCAAACAATTTAGTCGGTGGTTTCTGATTCTGAAAGTGCTCTACATCTCAGCGTTCATATTTTTTGGTTTCAAGCGCATAATTAGAGAAACTACGTAATTAGAATTACTAATTATTTGTACAAGGAGAAATAAAGATAGCCTGAGTACCTACAGGCTAGTGCGAGTAGTACACGTTAGGTTCAATTCGCCACTGAAGTGTCTTTCATTTTCAAATTCTAGGCTGAAGTTATGTGGGACACCCTGTATATCGTATGCATGCCTGTCCATGGTAATAAGTGAACGGCGCGCACTATACCATTTGCAACGGCTTGCCGCTGTTCGGGCTTCACCAGTAACATACAGCAGGTACAAGTTTCCTTGAGAGCAGATTTTATTTTTTTTTAATCTTAATCAGAGCTAGCAATATGTATATGATGTCCTTGTATACCTTCACCAGCACACTCTTACAACTTTTCCAGTCACCAGAGCGATTGCTTCCAGCCATTTTATGATGTGCACAAGCTATTCCAAGGCAAATTTATTTGCATCTGGCAGTAGTAAAACATGTTTCTTCAACAAGTTCGTTGAATTTTCAGCGAGCACACGCTGTACACTCGCTCTTCAAGTGCACTTGAATGTATGTGAACATAGACAAACTTGACATGAACTCAACAGTCAATTATGCAAGCGCATATGATGTGCATGCATACGCAGTTAACATGTAGCTGGAGCGTATTTATTAAAGAAAAAACCTCAGCAGAATCCTTCCGTTTCTAACATAGTTCTGTACTTCTTCTTTTGACATTTCAAAGTATACACATAAATGTGAAATGCCGTGCTTCGCGCAGTTGCGGCACTCTGCTTTGTCATATAGCTCAAAATCTATTTCGTACGGCATACCAGTACTTCGCATTGCCTGTAGTCGGACATTCTTGAATGGAAAGTGAGGGTTTTCAGATGTTTTGATGCAGTGCACTGAGACGCGAAGCCGACGCTCTGGGTCATTCAGAGTGATGAAGCGAAATTGAATATATAAATCACTAAATGCCCAGAGACTCCAGCTTGGGTAAATACTTGAGTTTATCTGAAATATTTTTTCTGCGTTATTCAATGTCATATGCAACATAAACAGAGATTGATCACTCGACATGACTCGACAAATGCCTTCGGTAGACATTGCAACATTCGACACCCATGGTATGCCATTATGCCGATTATTCTGCTCGCGTAATAATTCTAGAGTAGGCAGCAATGCATTGGCAAAGGTTTCCAACTTCTGCAGTATGAAACGCTTTTCCGTCTGCCATGAACCGTCTTTTTCACTCGTAATGGCCATTGGCGTCACTCCGTCCCCTTCGGAAGACTGATCATTCTTCTGCAAGGAATCAACCACTCTTTGCAAGGACTTTTGCGTGTCAGTAATTCCAGAAGAGAGTTTAGCCTCAGCTGTGTTCACATGTTCTCTCAACTCGCATCCCAAGTTACTAATCATGGGCATTATTTCCTGCAATTGGGAGTTGTGGGCCCTGAACTGTTCGACAAGCTCATTCACTTGGCTTTGAACTGTTGATAGGTGATCACTGCAGGAGCCTGTGATTACTGTCTGCAGTTCCTTCAGACCAGCATTCAGTTGCTGAGTGACCATTGAGCAGATGTTTGCCCCCATACTCTTCATTTCACTTATAAAACTACTCTCAAATCCACCATCAGCAGAGTCGATGTTCTGAAAACATACAGACTCCAGGGTTCTGCATATGGCCAATACCTCACTCATCTGTCTATGCAGAGCAGACAACTGATCCCGAGCCGCTGTAGTGTCGCAAGTTGCAGGTGAACTACCTTCCCGGTATGCCTGATCACCAGGTGCACCAGAAGTATTTAGGGAGCACCCACCAACATAGTGCGCGGCAATGTTGGTGCGCAATATTTTTTGATCGCAATTTGGACACTGGATGGCATGGAAGGTGCACTCCTTGTCATAGTGCAGTAGTATGGATTCAACGGTGCCCACAAACTCACAGCCGTCTGCTTCATTCCAGCAATGAACCTGCAAGGTAAGCATAAATGAAATGGTAAGACCAGTGGCAATACCTTTACGCACTCACAACAGATATTCGCACATTAAAGGAGCAGACACAGACATGGTCGTTGGCAGGAGGGTGCAAAAGGGGCATTTGCCCCCCTCAAGGCACACCGGGATTTGCACTTAGCCATACATCACCAATGCTTATCTCCTCCTTGGGAAGTAAAAACAATGCAAAAATATACACAATACATCATACATAATAAATATACATCACTGCTCCTCCCTTGAGCAGCGATGCAACATGGGTTTGCACCCCTCAAAACAAAATCTTGCTGACGCCCATGGACACAGATGTGTGCGTTGTAATAGGCTTCACGGGTAAGGCCACACACTTCATGATGATTCTACCTTAGTACACGAAGATGTATTGTCTACAATAATGCAAAATCAAGTGAAAGCGTCACAATATGGTTTTAGCAGTTCTCAGAGTACTTCAAGTTGTGATGATATTTGGAATTATCTTCTCGGAGATGACGTTATCCTGGCAAGCCTGGTCTTCCACTGCCCTGCCACAGTGTCCCTCAGCCCATCAGCTGTGAGGCATGGTTCTCCAAGTCCAGTTAGTCATGTGAATGTGAAAAGAATGTGCAAAACTTCCCAATGTACTATATGGGTCTCCAATTGCTAAGAGAAAAACTTGAGGAGGCTTGAACTTTACCTTCAGAGCAGATAGCACTTGTGCCTGGGCTTCATCATCAAAATGTGTAGGATAAGCCATTCAGCAGCGTTATAATCAGTCGACGCAGTTAAAAAATAGTTTTATTTTCAGTTAGAGGTTACGACGACCATGCTAGCAGTTCAGCTTCTGTTTTATTCTCTCGTCCTTGTGATGCTTCTACTTCCTTTGTAGATTCATTGGCCGTAGTAATGGAAACAACAGTGCGATCAAGCACCGTTTGCACAGTCTCTTCGTTCAGCTGCCAGGCTTTACTTGCTAGGGTTACCTCAACTATAACACAAGGAGAGATACATTTGCGCATGGAACAATACCCATTTGAAGCTCTAACTGCTTCGTAACTTAGGTGCTCTTGATATTGACCCTGGTCTTTTCATGTAGATTCTTTCGTAACTAACCATACCCATTATTGTAACGGCAGATGGCAAGGCATCTCCACAATGGACGTGAAATCAGTAGTTCCTCAACATTCTGTCTCGGGCCCATTGCTATTTCTTATTTGCATTAATGGCTTACCGTGGATTTGATACACCACAAACAGTGAAAGCAGATCACTAGGCCAGATATGCAACTTTTCTAGAACAAGTAATTTGAAATTACAGCACTATGAAACACTAATGCGGTCAGTGCTAGAGTATGCGTCATCTGTTTGTGGCCCTGGTGAAAAAACACTACATGATACCCTTGAGTCGATTCCAAAGATGTCAGCACATTTCATTACTTAATATTTTTCCGGCAAATCTAGTCTCTTATTAATAAAATCAGACATTGGACTTTTTATTTCTAGATTCAAAGCAAGTTTCTAAAATAACTCGCTTATACATGAACTCATTTAGGAACCGCGGTGCATAGATGCCCTCACAGTTTGGTCATAATTGGGTCTAAAATCATCATTCCTTTTAGCCGTGCAGATCTTTTCACAGATTCATTTCAGCCTAAGACCAAGGCCGAGGGGAAACATTTATCCCCTCCTTCGTCAGCCTGAGAGATCATGCTTTGAGCTCAGATAACTAATAACCGTTTGAAAATGTTTGCATATATTATGCTGTATTCACGACATATAATGCATGAATAAATTAATAAACAAGTAAACAAACAAATAGCACTCTCCTAAACAAATATCGGAGGATGCCTAAATCACATAAAGAAAATGAAGCAATGCAAATGGGCAGACGTGAAGAAACAAACACAAAAATAAAAATCCATGCATGTCACTCCTTAACTGCTTGCTGGCTCTTTCACTAATGCCCCTTTCTGGGTATTCTTCTGAAATGGTTTTGTGAGTAACGACTTGCCAATAGCGACTCAAGATGAAAGTGTTCAAGCACACGAACAACCCACCAACAGCTACGTGCTGTGTCGTTTTACGTGCCAGAAACCTATCTGTATTGGAGGGCTCTGTATAAAATCAAACAGCTGGGTTTTTCAAGTGCAAGTGGCATCACCCAGACCTTACATTGTGACGCCTTGACTGCTATCAATGTGTGAACGCCTTGACTGCTATCAAACCCTCACAGTACATGCTACAAAATACATTCTACAAATAATTTGTGCCACAAACCGAGCATCGTAGCCAATGCGCTACCACCGTAACATGAATTAACAACTGGCTATAACTTTCCACCAGGATATACGAGGTCTGTTAGAAAAGTATAGGACTTTTTTTTTTTTTGTGGGCACCTGATGGATTTGAAACAAGCAGTTGCATCAGCCAAACTAGAACTTTCAGGTACATGTGTGAATAAATTTGTTCCCACCTGCCAATAGCGTCAGTCACTAGGACGCAGTGTTTGAGTGATGTAGTGTGCAGTGCTTGCGAAGTGCTCTCGTCGGTTTTTCATTGCAAAGAAAATGACGGAGTGACTGTAGCAGCGCTACTACATCAAATTTTGCCAGAAGCTGGGCGACAGCCAAGTGAAAACCATTGGGAAGACCAAGACAGCCTTTGGCAGTGACAATATGAGCTGCACACAGATTAAGGAGTGGTAGAACCGGTTCAAGGACGGCCGCACATAGGTGGAGAGTGAGCCGCACTCTGGTCAGCCATCAACATGCCGAAATGACCAGGTCATTACCGAAGTGAACACTGTGGTGATGCGGGACCGTCGTGTGACTATCTGGGAAATTGCGGAAGAGGTGGGCATCAGCACTTTCTCTGCGCATTCAATGCATTATGACCGAAGATTTGGCCATGAAGAGAGTGGCGGCGAAATTCGTGCGGAAACTGCTCACGGTGGAGCAATAGCAACTTCGTGTTGAAGTATCACAGGACATGCATGATTCCAGAAACAGTGACTATAACTTCATGAAGACCAATATCGCTGGTGACGAGTCTTGGGTGTATGGGTACGACCCAGAAACCAAATCCCAGTCGTCACAGTGGAAGCATTTCACGCCACCAAGACCAAAGAAGGCCCGCCAAGTGCGCAGCAATTTCAAAGTGATGTTGAGTGCTTTCTTTGACTCCCGCAGTGTGGCACACGAGTACACACCACAGGGTCAAACAATCGCTAAAGAGTACTACAGGGACGTCTTCCGTCGCCTACGTGATGCTGTGAGGCGCGAAAGACACGAGTTGTGGTCAACAGGAAACTGGCGCATCCACCACGACAATGCTTCTGCACATTCCTCACACCTGGTTTTGACTTTTTTTTGGCGAAAAGTCACACTCCTGTGGTTCAACAGGCTCCTTACTCTCCTGATATGGCCCCCAGCGACTTCTGGCTGTTTCCAAAACTCAAGAGGACATTGAAAGGAGAGCGATTTCAGACAAGGTTGGACATTATGGCTGCAACGACAACTGAGCTAAACTCTATTCCCAAAGAGGCCTTCTCAGAATACTTCCAACAATGGCAGCACCGCTGGGAGAGGTGTGTGGACTCCTCACCTCTCCTGGTGGAATTAGATCCTGGCGGAAATGAAAACACTGAATTATCGAGCCATTGTGAAGCATAATTTCGGCGATGCGAGCAGGATCCAAATTTTTTTATGAATTCAAAACTAACACAAAAAAAACTGGTATGTGGCACAGCCTGGCGGAAAAGCCTTGAAACTGAATTATGGAGTCGATCGCTTTGCTGTCTATAATCTGGTGCCTTCAAGCGCACCATATTCAGTGTTCGTAATTATAGTTTGCACCTCAATATCTACACCAGTTCTATTCCGCGCTGCTTAAAGTGAGTTGCGCGATGAGAGGCGGTGCTGCCTTTGCGGAGTGCGCGGTTGTTCAGCAAATCGGAGCGCACGCCCACATAATGATTGTGGACCATTCATTGCACACAAAAAAACAGGGCCACACGAAGGGACACTAATAGAGACGACAGATTGAGCATCCTCCTTGTGTTCTGTTTTCTTTGCACAACACTCCACATTAAAGTGAATCACGCACGAGAACAAGTTCCACCATCCTGAAGTACACAAACAGCTTTTGCACTCACCTATCACTGTTGGAGCGTGTAGTCACCGCAAATCGAAACACCGAGAACATATGTTTCACAGCGTTTCGCGTTACCATTTCGTGATTAGACACTTTGACCGATAAGGTTTTCGTTGCGCTAAAGAAGGCGGCTACCACAAAAATTCCGCTGTCGTTCAACACAATAAATCGGTGCTATCACCTCCTGACATAACGTAGGGGACAAGCCAACGACCTTCGATTCTCGGGGAGGCACCAGATATGCAGCACTAACCTTCATGTTCTCTTTCTTCTTGGCAGGGAGTTTGATTTTCTGACATTCATCTTCGCAGAACGGCTCGGCATCCAGGGGACAGATGTTACCGCCTCCTTTTCCGGCGGCACACCCCGTCACACACTGCTCGCACGAGAGCATGCGAACAGGGCAGCAGTACCGTCGTGCTCGGAATGACGTGGCACACGCAGCAGGCGTACTGATTCACCGTCCGCTCGTCCTCGAACCGCGTCGGGCGCCAGTTCGCGCCGCTGACCGAATCGCACAGTCGGTGCAGAGTTGGACGCGCGTGATCAGGCATGGCAGCGGGCACGTCCTCACAGACTGAAGATAACGTCGTACGGTCGTCGGATAGGCTGATCCGCGCCTGCGACTCTCGGCTGACGGAGTCGGCGAACAATCACAAATGACAACCTGCGTTAGTCGCCCAACCCGCCTGAACACTATACAAAAATACTGAAAACTACCGAAAACAAACACACTGACACTGCAAGTCACGGAGGAAGGAAAGGTGTTGCAAGCGGTACAATCAGGTGTTCTGTGGTACAAGCGGGAAGAAAGTTGTCTTGGATTGGATTTGTGACCGCTCTATGCAGCGCGGGCAGGCGGAGTGCGAAGTCTCGAAGACACAAAGCAAGAGTAATAGAACACACAGAAAGTGACACGCACATTTACACAAAAATTTTTGAGGGTACAGGAGAGATTGTAAAAATTATAGATTGGGTGGGTTATACACTGATATGTCACTTTCGGTTTCTTTTTCATGCCGCGCAGTTTGAAATTTAGGACGTGTTACGTCGTGCTGTATTTAGTTCGTTCATTTGAGAAATAAGTAAATCAATCCCCGCTCACAGCTGAAACGTGCGCACAAAATAAATACCTAAATAAAACAAAATAAACTTTCTTCCATGGGCTAGGGTAGCTGAGGTTTGAACCAGGATTGCCACGGTGCAAAAGCGAGTGCCTTAAAACACTAGAATGTCTTAAGACACGCGCCCATGCTTAAAGAAATAAAGAAAGACATATATAAAGAAACAAAGAGAAAGCAAGAAAGAAGGAAAGAAAGAGAGAGGAAGAAAGGAAGAAGGAAGGGAAGCAAAAAATAAGGAAGGAAAGCAAGGAAAAAAGAAGTAAGGAAAGCAAGAAAGAAAGAAGTAAGGAAATCAAGGAAGAAATGAAGGAAGTGAAGAAGGAAAGAAATAAAGTAATCAAGAAAGAAAGTAAGCAAGAAATAAAGGTAGGTAGCTCGAGAAGCAGGACGTCAGGCACACCCTCGCCAATCTTCACCTGCCCCCCTTTCTCCGATTACAGAAGGATTCCTTAATTATTACTTTTTTTAGCATAGTTGTTTTCTGAGTCGTCTCTGGGCCCCTGTTCTTTAAATATTAAGTGAGAGATTTTTCTCTGATGGCGCACAAAAAAAAAAAAAAAGCACGCAAGCTGGCAGAGCTACTCTAGAAACTGCCCTTGTGAAACGTGCAAATCCAGGCAAAAGACTGAAGACAACTTCTGAGTTGAAGGGTTCGTTTTTTTGTTTTGTTTTTTCATAAAACAAAAGGCAGAACAAGGCCACGGAGTCGTATTTCCTATAATGGTAGAAGTAACTATTTTTGCATGACACGGGAAGGATCGATCGGGAACTTGTTTGTTTGCTAGACGCAACCTAATGAGATCAGCTAATAATTAGAACACAGTGGGGTTTGACGTCACCAAACCACTGTTAGGGTTTGACGTCTCCAAACCATCATATCTTGTTCCCAGGCCTTCCAGCAATGTCAGATCATGCAATCAATTTGTGTATTTGGTTCCTGAATGCAATCTTGATGTGTATGCGTATTCCTTTGTTCCACGAATGATAAAAGAGTGGAGTCGGTTGTCAGTACCGGTACTGAATTCGAAGAACATAGAAAGCTTTGAACAGTGCTTTAAAAATATGTCGTGAACATTGAGTGTTCCTATAGTATTGTACATATATTGTCATGTTGTTCGAAAATACATCGCGTGGTTACATACTATACCACCATCACAATATCAAGGATATCTTAAGCCTGTTATGGTTTTACTCTGTAGGCAAGGACTCTCCACAGGCAGGCTTGGACACAACAAACGCGTAGAATATATCATCATCATCATCATCATCATCATCATCATCATCATCATCAGCCTGACTACGTCCACTGCAGGACAAAGGCCTCTCCCATGTTCCGCCAGTTAACCCGGTCCTGTGCCTGCTGCTGCCAATTTATACCCGCAAACTTCTTAATCTCATCTGCCCACCTAACCTTCTGTCTCCCCCTAACCCGCTTGCCTTCTCTGGGAATCCAGTCAGTTACCCTTAACGACCAGCGGTTATCCTGTCTACGCGCTACATGCCCGGCCCATGTCCATTTCTTCTTCTTGATTTCAGCTATGATATCCTTAACCCCCGTTTGTTCCCTAATCCACTCTGCTCTCTTCTTGTCTCTTAAGGTTACACCTACCGCTTTTCTTTCCATTGCTCGCTGCGTCGTCCTCAATTTAAGCTGAACCTTCTTTGTAAGTCTCCAGGTTTCTGCTCCGTAGCTAAGTACCGGCAAGATACAGCTGTTATGTACCTTCCTCTTGAGGGATAGTGGCAATCTACCTGTCATTATTTGAGTGTGCTTGCCAAATGTGCTCCACCCCATTCTTATTCTTCTAGTCACTTCAATCTCGTTGTTCGGCTCCGCAGTTATTACCTGCCCTAAGTAGACATAGTCTTTTACAACTTGAAGTGCACTATTACCTATCTCGAAGCGCTACTCTTTTCCGAGGTGGTTGTACATTACCTTCGTTTTCTGCAGATTCATTTTAAGACCCACCTTTCTGCTCTCCTTGTCTAGCTCCGTAATCATGAGTTGCAATTCGTCCCCTGAGTTACTCAGCAATGCAATGTCATCGGCGAAGCGCAAGTTACTAAGGTATTCTCCATTAACTCTTATCCCTAACTGTTCCCATTCTAGGCTTCTGAAAACCTCCTGTAAGCACGCGGTAAATAGCATTGGGGAGATTGTGTTCCCCTGCCTTACACCCTTCTTGATTGGTATTCTGTTGCTTTCTTTATGAAGCACTATGGTAGCAGTTGATCCCCTGTAGATTTCTTTCAGGATGTTTATATATGCTTTATCGACGCCCTGATTCCGCAGTGTAGAATATATACTTAATTCAATTTTAAAAGTGTAGCTGAATGCTCACTCACACAATCTAGGCCCATTGCTTGCGCAGCAACACTGACGTTTCAGAATAGGAGAAGCGACGGCATTTTTCGTGACGTCACATGAGATATGTAGTGACGTAAGTGACCTCCGTCATCTCCGAAACGAGGCTGCTATTACGAGTGTGCTGGCGTCCCTTGCAAATACGCTGTGTGAGTCCGTCAAACACAATGAATGCTTCCGGACTCGACGCGTCCTTCACGGACAACGGAGGCGTCCGTCAAAGACGCTGCGCGCGTCCGACAACGGGGCTACCCCTCCTACTTCAGCGTGTCGGTGCCTATAACAGGCCGGCACACCTAGCGTCGGGCGACTTCCTCGTCCACGTTCTGTACATACGTTGTAAATATAAGCGCTTTGTCTCCTTCTGGCTGCCCTTCTGCCGCTGCCTGGATGCTACTGCAGCTGGCCATGACGACTGTCAGCGCGTTTGTTTTGCTGACGCTTGTGTGGCACGTGTGTGAAAGAGCAGACGAAACTCAGCTGCAGGATAAGCGTCACAGCTTTGTATGGTCACGTGACCAATCCACCCATGCATCGACGTCACTTCCCAACTTGGCGCCGCGAAACCGAAAATGGTCCATTTGCGGAAAAGCTTCTGCGCATGCGCGGTAACGGCGCAGCTGGCGCCCTCTATGGGCGCTTTGGTTTTGGTTGGAAAACACGAGCCGGGCCGGCCGTCACTCGTGCATCTCTGTGCCGTCACTGAACTAAGTCGCCTCGCTTTAGCAGCGTACAGAAATTCCAGCGCACTGTGTGGCCTACGGCTGCACGAATTATTTTACTCAGAAAGGAAGCACGCATTTCTACAGGTTCCCGTCCGCGAGGCTACGTGCCGAAAAGAGAGATGCTTCAACGGACAAAATCAACGGACAACCTCGAACATGTATTTACAGACGCTAAGCCCGCGTCTTGCAACATCGAGCTTTTTAGGTAGCACCGCAATGAGGTACAGTACTCGATAGACGTGATCTTGTGAATGCAACAATGTGTACCACGGCAGCACACAGTCTCGCGTATATCCGTACATTGTAACGGTTCGCAAAAAAAAGCTGCCATTAGTGCGCGAGGCTGCGCTTCGATGTATAAGCGCAAACCATGATTGATATAGTAGCACGGGTCGTTTATAATCACAAAAGCGGGAGCTGCAGCAGGTATAAGCACTGGGGTAAACTCCTGTCCTATGAAGAGAACGTAATGTTCCGATAAGGGAACTGCATGCTCCCATTACACTCGCAAGCGCATAGGCGCAACATTTGTTTACACACATTTTCGGCAATCGGTGCAACACAGTCGCAGTACGCTCCAACGATGCGACCGGTAGCCACGACGAACCATGCCGTTGTTACATACACGCCGGACTTCATGGACGGTGCGCACGCCGCTCTCACCAGACCTAGTTCGTCATCAGATGTTTGGAGGTTCAACTTCAAGTGTTTGACGTATCCTTCTTCCTTGAAGGACCAGCCGCGATGAGCCTGGCGAACGGTCGAAGTAGCGGAGTGTAGGTACCGCCACACGTCGTCGTTGCTCAGGCTGCAACGCGAAAAATCCTCGCTCCATCCCGCGTCCCCAAACGCAAACGGGATGTTTTCTTCTTCTATCATGTTGTTTCCGTAAGCAGAGCACGTTTCCGGCAAAGAAACAACACTAAATCAATAAAACAAGCGCACGCGAGCCGCCGAACGCTGCCTAGCACATGTTAGTTCACGAATGCCTTTCCAACCAAAAGCGCGAGCGCTGCTTCCCTGTTTAGACGGCAGGTGGCGCTCGCTTTTCCGCAAATGGTCAATTGTTCACCTTGTTTTTAGGGGCGAAGCTTTTTAAAGTGGCACCCGTTCGTCCCTCGTAGGAGTGCGTAACACGTCTTATGCTTTGACCTGCAAGGTGGTGACTGTGGGAGACTTCTCCTGTGCGTTGTTAAACAATGAAAAATTCGCAGCGTGCGCGTTAACTAAAAGCCGAATTCGCCTGTCTCTCATTCCCCATTAGCAGCCATTGGCATGTACATTGACCACTATCTGACAAGAAAGGGTTGCTACGTTATATACTCGTTGGGCGTAGCCTCCTTGATTTTAGAAAGGTTTAGCGAGAGTTGAGCCGCAGTGCCATGAATACAATGAACTAGTATATACCATGAACTCGAGGTGGTTAAAGGTGGGAAGTAGATACGAAGCGCAAGCCGTAAGAAATTGAAAGCTGAATCCTCCTGTCTCTCATTTCCCATTAGCAGCAATTGGCATATACATTGAGCCCTATCTGACAGGAAAAGGTTGCTACGTTATACTCGCTGGGCGTAACCTCCTTGGTTTT